GGAGACAAGCAGATTACAGCACTACGCTACATTTCAGGTCAGATCTGTGGAGAGTCACCCCTATTCAGAGAAGGAATTATTGTATTATTGAAGAATGGAAACACCAGTAATAAATAAATAGAAGACGGATATGTTTAATGTCAAACCATGGAACATTCCAGGCAAAGCAATAACATCTTCATGGGCACAAACAGATGGCGAATCCTCCCCCGGAAAAGTTACCCAATGCACCTTTAAATAGACAGTCTCATCAACAAATAATTGCCAGAATGACATGATAATTAGCCATAGAAGTCATGTATTCCTAGCGAGGCTGGCGCCACCTAGTGCCTCTGCTCAATTTCAATTCTTTCCAGCGACTAGTTCAGGGATCGGAATACACTAGACGGCTTGCAAGAACCCCAGAAGTTGTACACCTCACACCGGCCAATCAGAGAAGTGATGTGAAGCCATGACGTCAAACTCAAGCACCTGTCTGTGTCCCGTTTGTGGTACAACACAACAGTAAACAAAGCGGTCGAGATGGATGTAGATGAAGTCATACAGTCTGTGTTGGCGACGATTCACGAGATCGACGATTTAAAGCCGGAACAAAGAGAATGTTTGGTGAAAAAAGGGAGATCCGAGGCACTCCGATATGCTTTACTATGGTTTTATTTCACTATATAGCTCATAGCAAAGCATATCGGAGTGCCTCGGATCTCCTTTTTTCATCCAGTAAGTCATTTGCTCACTTGGGATCTCTGAAGAGCACCTGATCGCTTATTATTTTACTTCAGCTGTGATCCAGCGAGCGCTCTAATTACCATTTACTTCTTTGCAGAATGTTTGGTGAATTTTATCAAGGGGAAAGACGTTATTGCCCTTCTTCCTACGGGATTTGGCGCATTACATACATCTTTACCAAACAGCAGCGATTGGTTAAATAAAAAAAGTACCCGCTTATTATCGAGCGAACGAATCCTAACGCTGCGAGGTCAGACGGTTTCCACGAAGTGAAACCAGCTGATGAATCGCAAAGTACACATTGAGCCTCAAAATATGACTACTCCAGCTTTCCTATATAATAAACAGATGATATTGTATTGTAAGTATCGTGACAGGCCTACGCATACGTGGGTGTAAACACAGAAATCCGATGATGTTCCTCCAAGAACTACCAGCCCTGCACAAAAGGTCTGGTAACAATATAAAGACAAACAAATAGCTTCCCTCCTCTCACAGGTAGAAAGGGAATTACAAAAGAATACAACCCAGGTGTCTGAAACAACAAGTGCCAAAAGGGGATTGGTCTCTTGGATTCAGCGCAAAGGAAAAGCATAATAAACAGAAAAACCTTGGGTGGGACGGGGTGAATAAAGAGTTAGCCTGCATCAAAAAGCAAATAAGAAATGATACAAGAAAACAAGGCTGAGCGTGATAGATGAGCGATGAGAACTCTGCAAGGTGTTTGAGACAAAAGGTCAGTATTTGTTATTACATGCATGTACATAATACTTGTTCTCATTAGAAACAGCTTACCCACACACTTGACACCGCCTACCCAACAGAACTCAACTCAACTCCACGGCTGTAGTGAGATCATCTAAAGTGGGAGTCAGATACTACTTGTTTGTCTGTGTGTGTCAACTCACTAGTCACGTCATACACACAAACGCGAAGGACTCATGCAATCTCCAGACACGGCCCAGGATTCAGACTTGGATTTTTTTTTTTTTAAGGTTCTATATTACACAAAATTGAATCAGGTTGAGTCATGTTATAATGTTGTTACTTCATCAAAAACGTACCAGGAGTTGTGTTTCATTTCATTTACACATTTGAGTAACACTTTATTATTAGTCTGTCTATATCTCCAAAGCTCAAAATTGCTCTGTTCCACCTTGTGATGTCATGAAGCGGTAGTTTTCATGTTACCTTAACTAGGGATGTAAAGATATCCAAATCTCTAGGTACGATATTATCACTATATGGTACGATATTTATTGCAATATTTTGGAGAGGCTGATATAATTGTAGATAGGACACTTTTTTGCATTTACAATACCTGGACAAGATTTTGGTGTGAATTATTTCCGTCATAATCCCAAGAATTCAAGTAAAAAACATATCTCTTCATGTTGTCTGCGCTGAAATGAATCATGGGATATGTAGTTCCCAATGTTTATAAGCTGTTGCTACTATAAAACCGCACATTTAAGCAAAGGAATTTGTGATTCGATATATTTTGACAGCCCACGATATTATTGTGAGACTTTTGACGATACGATATCACAATAATCCGGTTACTGTTACATCCCTAACTTTTCCTTCTACCTAGTTCAGTAGAGATTGGCAATTCCAAGGAAATGAACTGAAATTAACCAAATGATTCTGTGAAGGTGTGTGGAGTTTAAAAACACAGTGGAGCACTTCCTGTATCCACATGACATCACAAGGTGGAAGAGTGTTTTCTGTCTGAGAAGAAAACACAGCCTAAATATGCAGGGTTTGTGTGTTTAACATGTCTGAATGAAACAAAACACAACTCCAGGTTTGTTTTTAATGAGGAAACAAAGTCAGAAAGTAGTGCCCTTTAAGTTTAGGAATAAATAATGATTGTTCTTCTTATTAGAGAGGCACAGCTCCAGTTTTTTCAGTCTGATACCAATTCAAATTCGATATCTGATATCAACCGATACCAGTGCAGAGAGTGAAAACAGCATTTATTTCCTTCAGACAAAATAAAATAAGACTAAACTGATCCAGATGTGTTATGTAGCTGGTATTTATCTTTCAGGTAGCTACAGGACAACTATGAATAAATAAAAATTCTAATATTTTGAGACTTTCTGGGCCAACTACCGCCAGTAAATAGTCTTATTATCTCAATTTATAAGTGCAAGCAGGATATTGGCTCCAGTTTCAGAAAATATCCAGCAAATTTTTCATGATCTGCGCCGATATACAGTACCAGTATCGGATCGGCGTATTCCTACTTCTAATTGCGGATTTAAATGTTACTAAAAGGTTGAGTTCTGGGAAGGACCATGTCTTTCAATCAATTATTCCTGTGCTATCTCAGACCTACTATCCCCCTGGCAGCGATCAATGCCATTCACTGCTACTGTGAAGTTAAATTGTCTCTCAGTCATTTCTGTCCTCATGAAAAGCTTACATTTATTCCTTAGCCTTTCCTAAAAGTGTTAACTAACCACTCTTGGAAATTAAATCGAAATTTAACCAGCTGTGTTATAAGCTGTACACTTTTGACCTCACCTTTCTTCTTTTCCTTATGTCAGCTTTTCACTGAGCATGGCCAATAAAATCAAGACAAGCACTAAAATCCTGCACTCTCACAGGTCGCACTCTAACTCGGAGCTGGTGCGCCATCTCGTGGTCAAAAGCAAGAACTGCACCTAAATGTAAAGGTGAATGGGTGTGGGTAACAGAAGGTCAAAGTAAAGGAGCTTCACTGAGCAGTTAAAGGACATTTCGTAGCTTTTCTGGTGGGATGTCTGACAATTGCTCAATAGAGATGTTACTGATTTGCCTGTAATGTTCCACAGCACGACATTAAGGTTCTCTGTCTTACATTTAGTTCATAATGATGTTTTATAACTCACAGTAACAGTGTACGCATTTCGATATATATATATATATTTGATACTGTGAGTGGATTTGTCTCTCCACAGATCTAATAATTCTAATAATACGTCAGACTTATATAGCAGTTTCTGGATATTCAAAGGCACTTTACAAACAACAGGAAACAGTAGAAATCGACTGTGGAGGTCTGACCCTTAACTTGACCTGGTGGCACCACCTGCTCGTCTCCATGGAGGCAAATGGATGATTCTAAACTTAGGTCAACATTTCATGTCAGCTGGCTGTATTTATCAACAGTGCAATCATTCCTTTGACGCAATGAGTTTTTACATTGGATCATCACACCCCCTGTTTGGAAACAATTACGTGACCTGATGCATTATTGACTTTTATGGAATCAATCAATACAAATATAGACAAATACTAGCACGTTACAGATAGATCAAGCTGGATTTAATTTATTGACGCTAAAAACATATTTGAGTAGAAAGCTTTGGCACAGAAAATTATGTAAATGTAAACAGAGACTGACTTCAGTGTTTTAAAACATGTGTGTGTATTATTTGTACATTAAAAAAGTATAAGAAATGTTTTTAACTGGGAAAAAAAAAAGAAAACTGCAAAGGTTTGGTCACTGAATCATAAATACAACACCGCAACAATGCCAGAGCCTTCCTGGAGCAAGAATTGTAAAGAGACTGCTCAGGGTTAACCCACTTCTTATTAAGATTCATCCAGAAAATATTTATCAACTGGATAATTCATATATTTGTTTAGAATTACATTAGATTTTATATTTACTAAAAAAACAGAATGAGCTTAATGACAAGAATAGTTCAATGTAATGTGGGAGTATTCTGAGCTCTATAAAAAACTCTCCATCCTGAAATATAACTGTCAACTGGGTAATGGTTCTCATAGACTTATTTTTAAAATCTGTGTAATCCACTTCTCAGTAATTGTTGTTTATAAATGGATTTTAAAGAAAAATACTTTTGTTCTTTCTCTTGCTCAAAGTGTAAATGGTTTTTCATTAATGTTCAATAGAATACAGATATCGACAAAGACATTTGAAAAATACTAATTATATTCATAGACTGTATACAGAAGTGGAGTAAGTGAGTCACCCATAGAGTTCAGCTCCAGTCAAATGAAGCTCACAATGCAGTTATGGGGCGAATTTGGAACAGAGTTCAAAATAAAGCCACCCATGCTCACTTCCTACTTGGAATGCGGAGGCTATAGGGCTAGTTATATCCATTCATATATACAGTTTATGGTTGCATTTTTCATTAGGCATATCACAAGAACTATATCATATTTTAATATAAATAATAATAAACACTGAGATTATTTTTATATCCATGATTATTGGATCTAGGTTAAACAATTTCTATAGAAGGAACACTTACTCCATTGGAACACGGAACTGGACGGTATCAGGAGGCTGCTCTTTTCCTGGTCTCACAAGCGTCAAAAACCAGTTTGGTCTGAAGATCCTCAGCTGTGGGTTCCCCAGCTGATACAGCGGGTACCTGAGCAGAGACAGAGACAGTGTAAACACAGAAACAAGTCCAGTTATCTTTATTTATCAATCTCGATCAGGGTCAGGACTTGATAGTTATTTAAAATTAAGCCATTTAAATTAATATCTGACCCCTGAGCAACATTTTACACACATGGCAGTAAAATAATAACTAAAATAATAACATGTATCTATAGGCTTCACGCAGTTATACTAAAAGCTATAATAATAATAAGCAGCACAAGGTAAATGTTGTTACATTAAGTGTAATTAACTGTTTTATAACTCTTCTGTATCTGGAATGCCAGAGCATCCCTCTCTGTCATCTAAGCACGACTAAACCTGTTAGCCGTGCTGTGCTAAGCTACTTTTCTGATAAAATTGCTGTAATAATGTCATATTCCAGAGGCTGATCACGTCCACTGTAAATGAAACATGTTTTACTCACAGTAACCTGGTCACGGGCATGTTTGGAGGGGTTTGATGCTTGTTTCACACCATCAATCATCAATATTTGTTGGTTTGTTGTTTCAAGGTGGTTGTTGTCAAACGCAGCATGTGCACAGATGTACTTCCGGGTTGTCCCGCACATGCGCACGGGGTAAATGCCCTTTTGCTGAAGTTTCTCACTTTTTATTTTGTGTCTTTAAAATCCAGCTTGTTCAGCTCTGTTTACGTTGTGGGCATTTTATCTTTAAAGATACGTTTAATTTGCACAACAGCGTTTCTGTGACTGATCTGGATCGGTAAAAATGGCACGACTACTTCTATGCACCACTCTAAGTACTGACAAGACTGAGGGACTCCAGCAGAGGGCGCTGTCTTCACATTCTTCCAAACGGCTGTTTCACTTTGGCCCCAAAAAGTGCTTGTGTGGAGCAGAGGTGAGGAAGTGGACCTGAGTTTGGATGGTTTAAACCTGGTGTCTGCAGCATGAATAGTTGCCAGGGATGTAACAGTTTATAACATGAATACACTCAGAGTTTTCTGATAGGTCACGCCTATAAACTGTATAAAATATTATATATACAGTCTATGGTCATGCCTCTGGTGTATACTGCAGCAGTGAGGGGTATTTTACTGTTCTGAGAGGATCAAAGTGTCTGAATCATGACTCAGACCCACAGTTCTCAAGAATGAATCCATTGTAATTAGACGCACCACTTGAATAATTAATTAATTAATCATTGTTCGTGCTATGTTGTTTTACCACGGCTTTTATTGGCGTAGACCATTTTATTGCATTGGCAGAGCTTTCTGGTATTTTAATAGACCCTGTGTGTTTCACAAATTCAGTATTATTACAACTGTATAACTTTAACATACTTGAAATAAAATGCTTACCAAAATGAGGAGAGTGTGAGAATACAGGGTTATGTCAAGGGCATTGTAAACCCATAGTTTATGTGACACTTGTTAAGTGGAGGAGGTGGGTGTTCTTGTTTAAGACAGACAGTACAGTCTACTGTGGGACTGGAGCAGACACTGAGGGACAAATGTAAACTTCCCCCTTTGATTCGTCTGCAGCCCGAGGAGGCGAACTGCAAATCAGAGATGAATCAAAGACGGATCTGCGTCATCTGCGATGAGAGAACTCATTGAAGAAATGAGACACAGTGTAAACACAGATAATCAGGCTGTGTTTGTTTTTGACATTTGTAATTAAAGAGTTACATAAAAAAAAAAAAAAAAAAAAAACACTGGATAAAAATGAGGGCATTTGTGTCATTTTAAATGTCTGAAACTAAGATTAACATAAGAAATTATTAAAGATATTTTATTTTTCTGTATTATTTTCAGTTATTTAATTTATTAAAATGAGGCCATTGCACCTGCCAGGAGTAATTATAGTGTCTAGAACAGTTGTGTCTGGGCAGTGTGTAAAAAGACAGCTTTTTATTGTCTGTGTAGAAAACCTCATTCTGTTTTGATGAGTTTTGTCAGATATGTTCAGTAGACTGTATGCAGTAGCCGTGTTTGGTTTGCAGTATAATTAAATCATGACATGGGACCAAAACCCCTTTATTCCTTCATTACACATGAGATCAGATCGTACTATTCAAACCCATGACACTGCTCGACAACATAAAGCATTAGGCCTCGGACACACTTCTAATTAGACCCTTGCCCTCGTCCTATCAGCGCCAAATGAGTCTGTGGAGATAGTGGCCAGTACAGGTCAGATTCCTCTGTTGTTTTACATCCTGTGTTCACACTCTCAGAGGGGTGAGTAGATGCCACGCTGCAGTCCTGCTCCTATTAATAGAACAAGGGATGGAGTTTGGGGCAATGATGATCGCGTGTAAATGTAGGCCCTCCCCCCTGGATATTCCGTTGATGTCACAAGTCTGAACTATAACCCAGGAGCCCGTGTCCAGTTTTGTGTCTTGAATATATGCACATGCAACATTATTATTTTAAAACGGCTGTATAAATCTGATCCGTTATTATAACTCCGACATGTAACTTCTTCATGGCAATGTTATTGATTCGACCAAATCAAGTTACAGGTCAGATCTGTGGAGAGGCGACCCCACTCACAGCCAAAATGTATGCTTTTAAAGGTATTTTTGAGCTATAAAACCATCTGTAATTGAATAAATGTAAGGTAGAGCTGCCATACTGCGGAACATTCCAGACAGAGCAATGACATAGAAACAAGAAAGCGACAGACCCCCAAACAAAAAGTTACACAGTGCACCTTTAAAAGTAAAGTAATGACTAAATGTGAACTTTCTTTGCTCATATAAACCAATTATTTGCATCACAGGACAACACAAACTCAAATCATTATCTAAAGCTGCACTGTGTAACTTTTCTAGTAGAGGGTCTAGCGCTTTGACTCCATTTTGTTGTTTTTTTCCTGAAATGATCTACACTATGGTATTTAATTTAACTATTTCCATGGAGACAAGCAGGCCACATCACCAGGCCAAATTGCAGGTAAGATCTGTGGAGAAGTAGCCGGTTTCACTTCGTAAAAAACGTCTGACCTTGCAATTTGTGTAGAATTTGTTTGCTTAACAGTACTTTTTTTATTTAACCAATCACTGCTGTTTGGTCGTGATGTATGTAACGCACCAAGTCCCGTAGGAAGAAGGGCAATAACGTCTTTCCTCTTGATAAAATTCACCAAACATTCTCTTTGTTTCGACTTTAAATCCTCGATCTCAGAAATCGTTGCCAACACGGAATATATGACTCTTTGCTGATTGGCTGGTGCCCGAACTCGCACTTCCAGGGTTTCTGCAAACCGTCTAGTGTATTCTGATTCCTGACCTAGTCGCTGGAGAGAAATGAAATTGAGTGGAGGCACTAGGTGGCGCCAGTCTGACTAAAGGAGAAGTAGACCTGCTCACAATAATAATAATGCATGTTTTTGCGGTAGTTTCAGAAATAAAAACCCCTGTAATTGAATAAATGCAAGATGCATTTGCTTAATGTCGTTCTGTGGAACATCCCAGGCAAAGCAATAACATCACCATGGAGAACATCTAGAAAAGTTACACAGTGCGTCTTTGAGTGTCCAAATAAAGCACCGATCCATTATTATAACTGTGATTTGTAACTTTTACTGTTTAAAAGTAACATAACTACTAAATGTGAACAGTTTGTTAAAGGTGCATTGTGTAACTTTTCTGGTGGAGGGTCCGTCAGATGCGTTTCTTCATGGAGATGTCATTGCTTTGTCTGGAATGTTTCACAGTATGGCATTAAGCCTTTCTGTTGTCATGGAGACCAAACCAGACCAAGTTACAGGTTAGATCTGTCAGAATTTCTGTTTTTCTAGCGATTTTTGAGCTTTAATTGAGCTTTAATGTGAGGGTAGAGCAGTTTAATGTCGTACTGTGGAACATTCCGGGCAGAGCAGTGACATATCCATAGAAACATGCAGGTGACGGACCCTCCACCAGAAAAGTTACACAATGCACCTTTAATTTAAACTTGTACAAACTAGTTACTTGCATGACAGGACCCATGTCGAGCTTGAGTTTTGTATCCTGAATATATTTGCATACAACATAAAACATGATTGTGTGTAATGTAACTGTGATTTGCAACCGTTTAAAAATAACATAACTACTAAATGTGGATGGTATTGTATGTATTGTAACTTAAACTCTCTTTCCTTGTATAAACTCGTTTGTATCACAGTCATATTGGCCCAACAGTGAAATAATCCCAGAACAAGAAGCTATTCAAAAGACCAAGCAATTACAGGGCATTTGGAAATCGTGTGCACTTTTAGATAGGCCATTAGCTCCAAGTCTCTCACAGGTTCCCACAGCCTTATCCAGTTTCTCTGTCCCTGCCAGAGCTATGCCATGGATCGGTGGGGGCTGTCATGCATAAACAGGGACAGGAGCAACTGATCTTCAAGGTATGCCAACTGACACTCCTGGGATATCTGGTGTACAGCCCTGCGGAAGACCTTAACCTACAATGACAACAATGTTAGAGCCCCAGTCCTCATCCTATTTACCCGTTTTCAAAATCACTTTTATGTCAGTCTGTGTCTGTTCAGTGAAGATTTTCAAATGCAGTGATATTTCATTAAAACTGAAAAGTGAAGAGATTGTGTAAATGTCATTATCGTGCCACGGAGCATTTGTTTCCTCCTGTTTTCTTCTGTTTTATTGGAGATTATAGAAATGTTGTGACTCAAAGCACAACAGATGCTGACACAGTAAATACCACTTTGACCAAGCACCTGCTTTACCCTTGAGGTCCTCCTAAACAACATTCCCACCCAGGGGTCCCTTACACAGACTAATCATTTAAGATCCATAAGGCATCCATGCACCTGCAGCTAAAATAATACAAAATCATATTTCTGATCAATATATCACACAAATAAGTACAAAATGATACATGGATTATGCATCAATAAAAATGAATTGTAAATTCTACAGAATCATATAGGCTACTAAAATCGATGTTTCTTACTGTAATTACTCAGAATAAACTGTTAAAATTAGCCATACAACATGTGTTTAAAAATGAAAAAAGAAAAGAAAAAAGTTGAATTAAGTTACACACAGTCTCCTGTTGGCCGAGAAAGTGGCTGATGGGCACTTTCTAGAAACACACTCCGCGGAAATAAAGTTATAAAGAAAGAAATGCAAGGATATAAAATGTGAAATTAAATTCACTCGAGCATCCTAACCGCGAGGCGCTCATCATCTGACGCCGCTGCTCATCAGATGATGTGTCCACTGTCTTTACGCACGCAGTGCGCATGGAGAGCTATCGACTACGCACCGTCTGGATCGCTGTCACTGTGTTTTGTGGGGTGCTTCTCAGTTCATTATGGCTTCTAGTTTGGACTAACCTAAAACACGCCTAATTCCCCTCTTCTTTTCCCCGCTCTACCTTTGCCTGTGAAGAAACGGCTCTGCGTTACGTCAGAAAGTGCAGGGCAAGCAAGACGGTCTCATAGGAGCTATTCGTAGGCATTGCTGCCAAACCCGGCTCTGGGGCTGCTCACAGCTCACTGCAGCCAATGCAAAATACAAACCCAATTCATTTCAAACTGCAGCAGTATGTGGTAAGTCTCTTATTTATTCATACTGTGTGTTTTAACGAGTGAGGCGTTTGGTCATTTCTCACAGCCTTTTTCACATGACAGGTCACTGGCACTATTGCGCAAAAAAATCCAAAAGTTTAAGCGGATTAAAGTGTAGGCTGTTTTATCCAACAAGCCTCACCATGAACAGCATCATGGCATGATGATGATGAAGCAGCACATTTCTACAGATTTTTTTAGTGTTTTGTGATTCTTTGCTGATCTCAAAGTCAACATGCCCCACGCTCGAAATAGGAACCCCAGCCCCATCCCAGAGGTAACATGGGACACGGGATTGAAGGAGATGAACGAGACCTGGAAAGGAGCGATTGCCTGCCTTGGGGTGGCCGTCTTCTTCGTGATGACCATAGGGATCATATACTGGCAAGTGGTGGACCAGCCCAACAAGAACTGGATTCTCCGGGGGACTTTTAGCGGACTCATCTGGGAGAGGAGGACCCATTCACTGGTCATTCAAACGCTGACCGAGGACACCACGTACGTGGAGATAGACGTGGGCAACGTTGGGAACCCGGACGTGGAGGTTCCGTTCGTGAGGAATCTGTGCTGGCTCAATAAGACTGAGTTCTGCTACACGTGGGACTCTGTGGCCGAGGTGAAGATCTCGTTGGAAGTGAACGAGGAGACAGAGAGCGAGTGCTACAGCATGAGCTGGACGCCGGTGCACTGCCATGTGCAGCTAAAGGTAAGAATAGTTTTCAAATGTATGGATGGAAAGCCCCTTTAGATACAGGATCAGGTTTTCAAGGAGGCAAAGAATGCATTTATATTTCTAAAATAAAAAGCGTGCGCTTTGCGCTTTCATAGTTTCAATTAATAACAATTACAATAAAGTGACTTGGACACGTCACAAATGAATACAGGATTCAATTTTAATTCATAAAATGGCATATTAAAATTCAAGTTGCATTATTATCGCAGTCTGATATTTTTTGTATTTTTAGTGCAGACTCTAGTAGTTTTGTGCTGGAAGTATGCGACATTAAGCTTGATTGCCCATGGATGACTGAACAGTTTCAAGTCAAATCCAGTCCATGAGTTCTGGTTCTGCTCAACGCAGTATTGCATGTTCTTTCCTCAGGCCTGATTATTAAAGCTATTGGGATGTTTAGAGGTTAATCTGTGCCCCTGGAACATTCCTGTCTGTAACACCAGGTCACATGTTGCTCATATTGTTTAATAAACTTATCAACGAGTTCAATGTTAAATCCGTGGCACGTGATGTGTAAAGGTACAGAGCACAAAAATATATTACTTGCCAATTTACAGCATCTTGCTCCAAGTCACCTAGCTCACAGACCAGTTTTTATAGTATTATCATTATATTTTTTTCTGTTTGGGTTGTAGGTTAAATTTTATAATTTATTTAAGATACTTTCTTTGCATTATTTACCCTTAAAACATGTGTGCTCAAACATTTATTTTCCCCTCCAAAAAATCTAAATATTTTCATACACCTTACTATATGTATGATGTTTATTGAGTAAATTCTGTCTGTAACTGGAGTGTGGTTGTGCGTAGGACTGCTTCTCCATGGCTAATGTGTCCTGGTACGGTGGAGCCAGTGTGAAGGGGCAGACTTGGCCCATTAATGACCAGAATGCAACAATGCAGCCTTTTATTGTGAGTGATCTGAGGAACAACCCGTCTGGATTTGGATCTGTGCTTGAACGATACTTTCTGGGGTCCTCAGGTAAGTCGCAATCATCAAGATATAAAATACAGAAAAATACTTTGAACTGTTTCCTGTTTTTTCTTGTTTAATTACTATATCGACTTAAAGGTGCATTGTGTAACTTTTCTAGTGGAGGGTCCTTCACCTACTTCTTCTGCCAGGAATGTTCCACAGTGTGACATTAAACAGCTCTACATTACATTTATTAAGTTACAGGTGGTTTTATTGTTCAAAAATACCTAGAAAAACAGGCATTCTGACTGTGAGCTTGGTCGCCTTTCCACAGATCTAACCTGTAACTTGGTCTGGTTTGGTGGCCATGAAAATAGAAAGGTTTAATGCCATACTCTAAAATATTCCAGACAAAGAAATAACATCTCCATGGAGAAAAGCATTTGACAAATCCTCCACCTGAAAAGTTACACAATGCATTTTTAATATATTTTGGGGTTCAGTATTTATTGTGTGCATATTTTTGTTGCAGTAGTGGGGAGATTTCTGCAATTTTTTCATGTAATACAGTAAGATAGGAGTAACTTCTATGACTAATTATTGGTTCATTCTACAATTTATTCATTGCAGCTCATGCATTTTAATGATACTGTATTTAAAAAAAAAAACGTTTTACTTTTAATCTGCTTTATTTTTATTATGTTAGTGGTACAAAGTAGTTTCAATATTTTTATTTATTGTGATATTTCCTTGTAGCAATAAACAGTATTGTGTTTTTAAAATGTTTTATCATGACAAACCTATTTGGACCAGTGGTGGAAGAAGTACTCAATTTTGTTGCTAAAGTAAAAATACAGATACCAGAGCAAGAAAATACTCAAGAAAAAGTAAAAGTATCACATGAAAAAAGCTCAAGTAAAAGTATTAAATAACCTGTTTATAAATGTATTTAAACAGTAAAAATTAAGAGTATTTTACATTTATTTTGAGGTATTTTAAGGCTTCAAATGTAGTATTTTTGATCAAAACTTGTGCTGTACTTTGTTCAGCAGAAACAACTGAAATTATATTTTTTTCCTACCTGTTTTTATTTGTATATTTTAAACCACAAATGTGTTTTAAGGACTCAAACTAAAATCTAAATACTTTAACTTTTTCAATCCTGTTCAAAATGTCATGGAGTAGAAAGTACAGATACCTGCTCTCAAATGTAGTGAAGTAAAAGTAAAAAAAAAAAATCTACTTAAGTACAGATACTTAAAATGTATACTTAAGTACTTTGCTATTTTTACTTTGTTATGTTACAGCACTGATTTAGACCAACAACAAAAAAAAAAATGTTTCGAAAGTGCACTGCAAAAACTAAAATCTAACCAAGTTTAGACTTTTTTGTAGTTAAAATATGAAAATACATGTAGTTACACTAAAGATAAGAAAAACAACAACTCTTAAAATACTTAAAATAAGAACCAAAATATAACTTTGCCTGAATTAAGAAAAAACACACTTGTTCCATTGGTAGATAATTGTATTTGTCCAGCTGAATCAGCTCAAATTAAATTAAATGTTCTTAATTTAAGTCATTTTAACACACCTCGATATGGCTTTTGTAGTGTTTATTTGAAATTGTTAGAGTACCAGCTGTTTTGTTGCTGTCAGTGCTGGTGTGGGAGAGCCCCATGACAGGAGAAATCTGACCCTGCGGAGCCCTACACTGTGGCGTAAATCCTGGCTGTGAGGGAAGCCCTGTGGATGCAGGTGTTTTCTTATCCCCTGACTCTCCCCAGCCTGTTTGTTTGTGATTTTGTGTCGAAAATGGTTTAATTTCACATGTTAAAGGTGCAACTGTGTCACATTTGTAGTGGAGGATCCGCCACGTTGCATTACAGGTCAGATCTGTGGAGAGTCGTCCCTATTCACAGAAGAAACTTTTGTATTTTTGAGCGATAGAAACACCTGAAGTGAATAAATGCAAGATGTTTAAACAGTGTTGGGAAGGTTACTTTTCAAATGTATTCCCCTACAGATTCCAGATTCCATACACCAAAATGTAGTTTGTTACGTAATCCAATAAATTACTTAAAGTGAGTAAAGTAATCAGAATACTTTGGATTACTTGATTTGCTGTAGAGAACCAAGACGAGGAAATCTTCACATAAGACGTTTTGTCTAAAAGAAAATAAAAAGCCGAGTCTTTCCTTAACCGATTTAAAAATATTATTGATAGAAGACGAGGAGACACGGTCCGCACGGCATGGTCCTGTCAAATTCTGTTTTAGTCCTGGTTTAGTCCTGGTTTTAGTCCTGGTTTAGACCTGGTTTAGTCCTGGTTTAGACCTGGTTTAGATCTGGTTTAGTCCTGGTTTAGACCTGGTTTAGTCCTGGTTTAGTCCTGGTTTAGTCCTGGTTTAGACCTGGTTTAGTCCTGGTTTAGTCCTGGGTTTAGTCCTGGTTTAGACCTGGTTTAGTCCTGGTTTAGTCCTGGTTTAGACCTGGTTTAGTCCTGGTTTAGTCCTGGGTTTAGTCCTGGTTTAGACCTGGTTTAGTCCTGGGTTTAGTCCTGGTGTTAGTTCTGGTTTAGACCTGGTTTAGTCCTGGTTTAGTCCTGGGTTTAGTCCTGGGTTTAGTCCTGGTTTAGACCTGGTTTAGTCCTGGGTTTAGTCCTGGTTTAGACCTGGTTTAGTCCTGGGTTTAGTCCTGGGTTTAGTCCTGGTTTAGCCCAAAATGTAAAAACAGGAAAATACCACTATGTAATCCATTTATTTCAGCAAAGTAACTGTAATCCAATTACCACTCATGGAAAGAGTAACTGTAACTGAATACAGTTACTCATAATTTGTACTCTGATTACATAACTCCGGTACATGTAATCTGTTACTCCCCAACACTGTATTTAAAGTCAAACCATAGAGCATTTGTCTATTCCAGGCAAAAGCAATAACATCACCACGGAGACAAGCAGGTAGCGGAGCCTCCACCAGAAAAGTTGCACAGTGCACCTTTAACTTCAGTGAACCATGGCTCCACAAATAGAGCGCAATCCGGTCTGTGGTATGCTGGTTTATTAATACGGAGATTAGAGTACAAAGGATCTTTAGCGTCTTAAATTAACTCTTAGCAGCGCCGGGTAATTGCCTTTTGTTTCTATTAAAAAGCGCCGTGGACGTGGACCTTATGCTCCGTTATAATTCAGTTATGTGGGGTGATTTTGTGCAATGGGCCCTGCTTGAAAAAGATGATATGGTTAAACTTTTCACACTGACAACTGAACAGGCACAATGTGTTTCCTCATCTTTTGCGCTTCAACCGTTAAAGCAAATGATGAGGAAACACTCTGTAACTGTTTAGTGTGTGGGATTTTGTATCTCACTGGAGTACGAAACATTTATTGTAACATTGATAGTATTTCTTTGCTCTATATCTTATTATGAAGTAGTATATTGTCCACTCCCCACAGTATTTTTGTTATTTGTGGAAGAAGTACTCAGTTTTGACACTTAAATAAAAATAAAAATGCAGATACTGGAGCAAAATAATAAAAGTAAGAAGTAAAAGTATCACATGAAAAAATCAACTTCAGTAAAAATGCCTAAAGAGTAAAAAGTTAAAGTGTTTTGAGAGTAGTTTGAGATCTAATAAAGCTTCAAATGTAGTGAATTTTGTTCAGTAGAAACAACTAAATTGATAGTTTTATTCCTAGATGTTTTTATTTTGTATATTTGTGTTTGCTCAGACCATAAATGTGTGAAAAATAAACACCTCGACCATTTCAGCAGGTTTCAGACAATAATAAAAAAAGCGTTTACATTTCAGTCCTGTTCAAGAAAGCACAGATACTTTTACCTGTGAAGTAAAAGTAAAAAGTATCCATTTACTCAGTTACATTTACTTATTTTTACTACTTTTACTTTGTTCCGTTTGCGCTGCGCTGATTTCTGTATCCGCAGACGTCACAGATCTGAATGCAGAGGCTGGTTCTTGTTGTTCTGGAGCAGTTCTGAATCTCTGCTCACATGTTTTCACATTGTCGTGCTCACAGACTCTACGTCCGCGGTCGTTCTGTAGGTCCACGCTGAGGATCTTACGTAACTCTGGTCAGCTTTAGCCCACGGTCACATGACTTAAATCTCTTTCCACCGTGTATCGCTAATTATCAGGAGCCTGTAATGTTTATGTTTAGCTTTGCACTGAAAAATACACTGAGGGAGTTCACCCCCAGAGGCCGTCTGTTTGAATGTTGCCAAGGAACCATTTACCGCCACATACTGAGCATAGCAGACTGATGCTCAGCTATGGAGACTATGTCAATTGGAGCATTAAATGATATATTTACCGTCATCTGTTTGTTTCAGTGTACAGCCCCAGGGAATACTGCTCTGGACCTCAGGGACAGTGGACTAACTATTACACTTACTGCGGTAGTTTAAAGTTTGTGCTGGTTCTCAAACACAACTTATGTTTATTTTGGTAAATGGCATAAGTTGAATTTGTTTTGGAGAAAATGAATTGTTTAAAGCCGTGACGAATAATGGTCAAAAAGGGTTACAATAACTGCCTCAGATTAGTAACTTTGTTCAAGTTAAAGTCTAAAGAGAATAATAAAGGCTACTGTTATTTCATCTGCATTGTTTTAATATTTAGAATACTTAAGTACATAGTTGTCCTGAATATGATTACATATTCCGTGCCTTCCATATTTAGAGCATAATAAAATATCTTCACTGTGGTATTAAAAAGCAACAGTAGTAGTAGGGTCATGATTTAACTGTGTTTAGAAATGCAGCCTTTTATCCGGGGTCATAATTCCATTTGTGTAAACTCGAAAAATATCTTTGTCTCTTATATGTACTTATATCGACCTCAACTGTCTTCCAGAATTAATTTTCTCATACATTTTTCCCATAGACTTTTCAAAAAAATTATATTAATTGACCACAAGACCTATAAATGTATTTAGAAACTGATAAACTGCTAAGTTATTAAAGCAATTTACCAAATCTTGTGTTTTTATATGTGCATTTTGGATTTAAAACAACCACCTTATGGATATTAGTTAACACGTAGTT